CGTTCGTCAAACGTATAAATATCGTGCTAAGCGGTGATTATACCGCACCAAAGCGAAACATATCCACGTATTCTGGAATTTACATTGGCCAATCCGCGTACGCGGTCATCGGACGGCGAACGACAGGAACTTTCACCAGAGCGTCGTTGATAATATCGTAGTATGTTTACAATGTCTCCCACCATCGTTTCCGATTGTCCGCAAGTCCTACTTATCGACTTGTAATATATTCGACTTGTTACGTGTGTGCAAAACCCGTGTATGTTAGGCTGGAACGCGATTTTCCTGCTCGAAGAAGTTCAATTTTATGTGCGCAAAGCAATTCAACTGTTCCAGTAATTTCCTCGGTTAAACAACGGGAAATCGGAAATATTTCGCCTGTGTTCGTTGAAAAAGTTGAATATGAATATTTACGAAGTTTGAAAATTATTTTTAAAATCGAAGTTGAATTCGAAAAGTGCGAATAGAAAAAGGTAGGCGATGATGTTTGAATGAAATACGAATGACAATATGATTATATATGATTCATTCTATGATCGATAAAATAAATAAAAATGTAATTTATTTATGTGTAACAATAATATGAATGGATTGAACAATGATTGGAAAATATATGTTAAAGATGCTTGTTTCTTTTTTTTAATATTTCACATTGGAGAAGTTTATTAAAGAAATATTGAATGATTAAAGCGTTAGAATTAATTTTTCCAGGAATTCAAGAAATGTATATATATATATATCTTTATCAAAGGTATACCGTTAATAGACGAAGAACAAAATGCAAATAATAGTTTCGATCAAACGTAAACCGCGAAAACATAAATTAAATGTAATCAAGAAACATATGCTTAGAAAAAAATTATATATTAGCAACGATGAGTCATTATAGTTATACATTGTTCCATGAATACATTTATCGCATTTTCATAATCGTGCACTTAAAATACAGTCTTTATATCAATCTTTATATCAACTTACACTATGTTACAAACCATTGTACAAGTCTATTAAAAAAAAAAAAAAAATCAGCAAGAATTTCCTCTGTTCTAAACGCGAACAATTCCCAGTTCCAACAGTACAAATTCTTCATACAGATATCGGAAGAAACTCAATAGAAACAGGTTTCAGCAAGGCGCGCTTATAGTTCGTTCGAAATCAATTGACTACACAAGGCCGTCAACATGCAACCCCCTCTCCATTCCTTTCGCCTACTATAGAACATTATCTATCTGGATTCTTCTTTATTTTATATTTTTTGTGATAAAATGATCCATAGAAAATATAACATATACTTAACTATCAAAAGGAATGAATATAATACTCTTTCCATCCTTTATTTCTTCCTTTAAATTATACGAAAGGCAATAATTATTTTCTTATTTGTACAAATATTAATTTGTAATTATGAATACGTACGATCATAAAGAACACATTGTGATATATACATACATAATCAACTACAATTTGGCGATCAATTGATCAAAATTGACATAACCTTAAACTTAACTTCCATAACCTATAAACACGAAGAAAGAAAGGAGACTGAAAGAGAGCCAGAGAAAAAGGAAGAAATGGAATAAAGCTACGGTTTACCTGGAACCTATCTCTCGTGAAGACCTGGACCACAGAATCGTCGCGCACACAGAATCAAGCAGAGTAAACGGAAGTGCCATTGCCCGCCAGGGAGGAAGCGTCGATCGAACGGTTCGAATCATAGAAAACGGTTAAATCCCGCGCTACCGCTGTCCAGTTATCGGGGAATGTGTACGAGGTGGTACGGAAACCGACTATCACAGGTTTATACCGGATAAATCTCGTTTCTTCCCGCGTGCAAAGCGTTTTCCATCACTGTCCCTCGAGCATGCCTGTCTTTCTCGACGAGTCTCTCGCCGGCGTTGTCAGTCAGACCAGCTCGAAACTCGAGTGTGTCCATGGAGAACGTTAGTGGCAAGAGTTGTCGTGTTGTCGACCTCGTAGGCCGACCGACCGACCGACCGGCCAGCCAATTCGTCAGGGAAAGGAGCGAATATTTGGCCCGGCGCGAGTCTCACTACGC